TTCAGCGTAAAGTATTTCAACAAGTTTCCGTTTCTTTCTTCTTGACCGGTCCTGGCGATAAATATTGAGTGATCGCCAGTTAGATGTTAGCAGTTCACTGAATGAACAACTGAATAATGTGCATTCTCTTCGTTGTATATTGCCGGCAACCACATTGTCTCTTATTGAGTTTTTTGTAACTTTGACAACGAAAGGTTGTGCACTTTTCAGAAACGCAGCAGAACCGGTTATGCGATTAATAGACATAACAATATATTAAAACAAACAAAAATAGATAACTTGTTGAAATATCTAGATGGCAGGAACAGGTAGCCCAAATGCTCAAGCAGGCCGCCCTTATCATTTATCTTGACAGTTTACCAACTCAGCATAAAATATCTGTGAATATTTCTCGTCTACAACACACTACTGATGAATCCAATTTATTTAGTTTTATCATTAGTCTATTGTTTAAATAAGCCACAAAGTGAGAAAACAAACAATCAGTCAAGGTCACATACTGCAAGTGAAATATTCATATCATTGATCAATATAATTGTACTAAATCAATGAAAATTCTGCATTTGTAAAATGAATGAATTGTGAGAGACATAGAAATCTGATTCAACTGCTACGATTCAAAGCTGACAACTCGTTCGAAAATATCATCATGTGAAGTTCATTTAAATATCCTGGAATTGAACAATCTTGTGAACAATAATTGTGGAGATCATTAATTACTCACTTGTAATAACATTAGTGAAGATGCATTTTACCTATAAGTTGTGGTTTGAACGAAGAATACAACAAGGCGAATCGGAATGTAATACAATGTGAAAACAAATCGAGTGATATAAGTGAATCAGTTCAATGACGAACTCTTATCGAGTAGTTGAGATGCATAACAGAATATTCGATTCAGAGCATGATCGAGAGCACCCAGTCAGTATTATGAACTTGGAGGTTGCATGATATCTATTTCTACTCACTGAATGATTTGAATATATATAAATAGCCAATTGTTGACTGAACAACGTAGGTTCGACACTTCTGACGGTGAAGTCATGTGACCGGGATTGGAAGCTGTAAGTAAATGCGACACTAAACCATTTAACGGGTAAGCGATCCACATGAACGACAGTAAACAAGAATGTCTTTAATCATCAAATCAAATACATGATAACGTTTTGTTGAGCTATCTGTTTAGCTGATCAAGAGATACCTAAATTGACAAGACTCATTCGCAACTGTGAAATTACTAGTCTCGATATCGATCACTCCTCAACACTGATTTGTTGCGCAACAAACTACTGTCGCGTGAACTGCTAAGGTGGTCGCAATAATAATGAAATTTTATTAGAGAGGCTAAAATCTCTTGTGAAACGATAACTTCTAGTGAGACGAATCGTAATAGTTAGGGAATATGAAAGTACGGAAGTTTGTTTCTCGAATCTTATTCAGTTATGCATCTTTTCGTTGTTTAGATTTCAGGTTTAGAAGCTTCATCGGAGATCGCCACAGAATCATCTCGATTTTTCTTGTGAGCAACAAAATACAGTGAGAATCAACATGATTACAATGCTCCAATTCTCACCAAACAGATCATAAGCGAATTCGATCAGAAATAAGGATTTGTAAGACATGCGATGGTCACTGCCCAGTGATCAATCAAATTTTAACAGATAAGGGATTGTTTGAAAATGTGGTCCACAATCAGTATCGAGTAATGCAAAATCACGTGGGTGCTTTTCAGCACAAAACATATTCATTCAAATAATTTAATGTCTGAATTGTAGTTGAGGTATCGTCCCACACTTCTGTTTGATGTATAACTCAACAAAAATAAGCATGAAATAAACTAGTTTTTGCAGACATTGCTGTTTGCGAAAATTGCTATAATTGTTTCGTTTTAAACTCTCCATTCATTTTTGCGATAAGGGAAATTTTCAGTGGTCGGTGTCTAACAACTCACTCATTTAAAGTGCTCAAACGTTGAACATAGAACTAGGAAAATGTAATATCAGTTGGGAACAGGAACAAACTCGAACGGTTAATATCATATATAACGATTTCTTCTGAATTTTATAATTATCCACATTAAACCTATTAGAAAGATGCCTAGTCTGAATACCATATTCATTAATTAATACACAGATTACAACAATAAGCAAAGTAAGTGAAACCAAGTGACATAGAAACTGAATACCAAACATTATAAGACATCAATACGATCTAAATGAGTGATTATGAGATAGCTAATGTTAAACCAGTCTACTGGAAATTATTTTATATATCTTCACCGTGTATTCTCCAATGTCTATCTTCGAGATGAAATTTCCAGAATTCTAGTGTGAAGTCGTAATCAACAGGGTAAGATGAGCCAGTTAGCCAATGAAGACAATATTCGTAGTTTAGTTTTTCGTGATAAAATCGATTATTCTGGATGACTGTATATGAATTAAATTGGTTAGTTAACTTGAAGTTTTGATCTAATAGATTGTCATAAACTATGTGAAATGTACGCCAAAGGTAAATACGACTTTAAAAAACCATGTATTTTTCCTTAGGTAGTCCAACAACAATGTCATTTAGTCAGTATTGTTTTATAATCAATATAAATGAATTTTTGATTTGTAAACTCCCCATTGAGAAATTAAGCTGCGTGCAACCGTAGGCAGACAGACATTATTTACATAGAGCCTGTAATAAATGTGCATTCCCCATCACTTCGAGATGACAATAACAAGCTGAATTGTAAAATGTATCGGGATTGTTTAGCAAAAATTCTATAGTGAACGGCTGAACATTTTGAATAATGTTTAGAAAGACAGTGTAGAGAGATATGCATTAAAAATACTGAAGTTCAAGATCTAGAAGAAGAGGAAGAATGAATGCACCTTCGTCACTGAGTTATGTCAGTTTAAGTCTCTAACAACCAATCGCAGTTATCACGCTGATCCTAAATGGGTCGTATCTGTATTCCGTTGTGAATCAAACTAACAGTTTATAACTTCATGAACTGATCCCACACCATATTTATGTTCCCGGTAGCTTTCTTACAAAGCATTTTTACAACAGAAAACATCGAGGTTGAGAGTGGGCAGTTATGTGTTACACATGTTCTAACCGCCTAAGTGAATCAAGATTTACAATCTCATCAAGCAGTTTGCCACCATTACTTTACCTTAAGTTTCCTCACTCAGTAGATCCACGGAACGAGAGTAGTGCTTCTCTGAAATCTACGGTCAAAATACCTCAGCTTACTTATAGCTCCTGCTTTCAGAGACCATGTATCAAAGTCATAAACTAATGAACAACTGACTGATGAGCAGGACACATGCCCTTCTGTTGACAGACAGACTTTGCACCTACGCCACAAGTGAAGCAGGATAGAGAAAACCAGACGAACTTTCTGAATAAGTGCGAGGTTTCGTCGGGAACCGATTTATTTGGACTGATAGGTGGGATGGTCGGTGCGGCCGAGTGTTTCACACCCTATCGTCAGTTAAGGTGTTGAAACAAACCAGTCGTGAACATTTTAAGTTTAGACTGCTTACATTTTTGCTTTAGATGATTAACAGACTGCATCGTCAGTGTCTTCATCAATTAGGAACTTGTGATCTGAGTATTCCTAGTCCATAAGTGAACATTCCTGTAAATTTGGATGAACGGAGTGTTATTTCTAGATCTATAACGAAACTAAGTAAAGAAAGATAGAGTGGAGGCTTGGTGATCACCACATGATGTTGACATTTATGGTGACAGTTCATTGTGAGCTTCGACACGATCAATAGTGCTAGATTAGAGAGACTTCACAAGGTTTATGGACTTCCTTGACTAACATTGACACAAAGTCTCTCGGTCAACTGAGTTGAATACTATCTTACAATCAATGTTACAACTATAGTATGTCTGTGTTCTAAAACCTGAATGAGTGAATATTCAGTCATCACATCACCAGGTCAGGAACAGCCTGATTTCCCCGGGTTCGCTCATAACGAGCCATAACCGCCGCAAATGGGTTGGAAATGAAATTCGGTAGAGTATAAAACAGAAAATAATTGAAACACACGACACTACTGATAACTAATCCAGTAGTTCATATTGAATGACAAATGTTCAAGTCAAGCGGTAATGACTGAATACATTTCACCTGACAATATTGTGGTTTCCTAGAAATTGTCAAATTTTATTAGCTATATCACAAACTGGTCTTAGTGTAGGAAATCAATCAAAACTAAGGAATATTGGATAGTCGTTATTTCCAGTATACGGCTCCCCAGATATGAATATCCACAACCCACCGGCATCAAACCCAAAAACACCAGGTTCTGATGAGAGCGTTTAATCGGTAGACCACTAAGCTGATATCCGACGGCTTACATTTCACTGGTCGTTAATGCGCAACCACTGTTGACTCAGTTTGTTTGTATGAACTAACATCAACTCTAATAATCTAGAGTTCCTCACAACAGTCACATGGAATGATTTCGACAAAAAAACCACCTCCCAGTAGTAACCTCCTTATCAGATCTTCATCAAAATAAACAAACATTTGATCCGATGATCAACACACTTCGTTGAAATACGTCTCACCAAATAATCATATTTCCTAAATCACAAACCAAATTGTTTTCGCCTGTCTAATAGAAAAACTGGGTCAAAGTACAGTAATAATGACGACCCATAGCAACTTATCTGTCAACCAGCAAACGCTGCATTGTTACAATACAATTAACAATAAAAAACCAATGGAGTACCGATGGAATAGTAGATTTTTTCATTAATAATTAATCCTCACATGTTAAATGATTCTTTGTAGTAAAGGAGAATGGTCAAGTTCACATATTATGGTTCGAGATAGTATTCTGAATTAGGATTATCAACCCATTGAGTTATCAACACCACATGACATCGGTTATAATTCAACAAGTTTAGGGTCAAGTATTAACAGATAAACTGGAGGATTACGTCAAAGGATCCAACCGAAATACAATTTCATTTAAAATAAGAAGAATGAATTTTGCATAATAACATGTATTTATTACATTTCAAAGCGTCTCGTCAGCTGCAAACGACCTAAATTTTATATCAATAATATTAATACAAAATGTTTCACAAACCATAATTAATGAAGTTGAGTTCGAAACGACATAAGAAATCAGATGAAAAATTATGCTCAACATAACCACAACGATTTTTCAGTACTTATATATTGAGGATGAAGTCATAAAAGGAAGTATTGCAGTTATACATGATAATGAGGTGACATTGAATAAAAAAAAATTGTTAACTGAGTGATAATCAAAGCATCTAGTCGACATAAAATTAGAAATAGCATCGTCAGTGAATTTCAGTAAAATTTCCTAGTTTCCGTTGCAAAGTACAATGAAGAGATAGTTTAATCGACAAGCGTAAAATAGTATACCTACATTAACTTGACAATGAGCGGTTTAGCATTATTTCTGTTTATAATTTTTATGTTGGAAGTACTTGATGCATTGGCCTCTCTTAACCGGAGTAATGTGATTTTCGCTGGGTGTTTATTATTCCAATTGCCCATGTGATCTTCCTGTTATGTCCACTATTTAATTAATGTTCTGTAATCACATTTGTGTAAACTTTACTTAGTAAGACATATTGTTCGAGGGATATGTTCGGAGAAACCCGCTATGTTCTTCTTTCAATACTGTTTGTACACTTGCTTAAATAAGTACACATAAATTAGGAAATATATTTGATGGTGACTTCAGAATGATATGGTTCCACTTCTGATTGGTTTAAGAAACATTTGGTGTTTTAAACTGAATATAGTTTGGCTCTAGGCAAGCATCTTTTTAGTGCTGATTCAATCCTTCTAACGATCTTACCTGAAATCTTCTCACATTTGGATGAGAATAGAATTTCTGTCAACAGTTGTTAGTTTAAGACTTGACAAAAACATTTTCCAGTACTTCTTAACAAATATTATCGGGTGAGTCATGTAAAACAAACTTCGATAATTTCATATTCCCTAACTATTTCAAAGCAGAACTACACCTCATTACAGGACAGTGTAATGAAGTAATGACGATATAGTAAGTGGATTCATTATAGTAACTTTCAGATCAAAAAACGAAAACATAACGTGAGCGAATAAATACAGACTATAGAAAATTCAGAACAAGTAACAACAATAAAAAAATTACTTCGTTTTACTGAAATCATAATTGAACAATAATAAGGTGTAAAGGCAAGCATAAACATTGACAATAGTTTTGATGTAAAAGATAATAGTTCTATTCTATTTTTAATTGTTCAATGAATTATCTTTTTTGAATAAAGGAAGACAATATAGGCGGTGCACAAAAAGAAAGTAGCCAGTGGGAATCCTTATATTACATTAATGTGAACGTATATTGATGTATGTATATAAGTAGGATGAACATTTTAAGTAGTATACAAGCTAAAACTACACATTATCTTGATCTGTTTAGTCTGTCAGTATTTTTAAAAAAAACTTGATCACAGGTATCATGCGTGTGCATATGTAATAATTGAATGAAGCAAAAAATTCTTTCCTAATTTAACAAGTCACAAAAATCACAGACAGGAATTCTCTTAAAAAGCACATCTTTTTGAAAATTAAAATAATCCCTTACGTTTAATTCGAAATTTATCCTTTATAAAATCACCTCGGTCTGATGTAATATGAAGAGCCTATGAGTAAAAGAAAAAAATTTAACGATATATATATACATATATATATAAAGAGAATCTCAAACACCAAACAAATTATATACTACTTCTGTCGAATAAATCATCATTCCTACAGTTGAAAAACATCTGGAACTCAAAAATACTGTCAAACAACATCAAAGTCAGAATATTCAATACGAATGTCGAAACAGTTCTACTGTACGGAGCTGAAGAGTGGAGAATTACTTTAACTGTCATCAAAAATGTAAGAAACAGTAAATTAGTAGGGGAAGGGAACTGCTACAAATAGTGGGTGTTTTGCAGGGAATAAGCTTGGTACAAATTCAATTATGTAGAATCATTTTTTTAGGATACAACTTTGCGTACTGATTCTACAGAGTAGTAGTATACAAAAGAATACATCTTTTTTGAAAAATAACAAACGCGAGTGTCACAATAAGTAATTGGTTCATAAATCCACTTTCTCGATTTTTTTAACGAAGTGGTTGAATATATTTCATCTTAATAGATAATAATCGAGAACTTAAGTTGGAAATAGTGATACAATACAACCAGTACTGAAGATTTAAAAACATTACTTATCATACTACTGAAATCACTGGTTAGTATATTATACATATAGTTCTCATTGTTTGAATAATAACGAGGAATATGCCGTTACAAGTGTTACAAGAAAAGTTCAACTCAGTGGTTATTTCATAGGGAGAAAGAAGATATATCAAAATATTTAAGGTGATTGGTCAACGGATTGCAACTATTATATTATTATTAGTATGGATAAAAATGTAAAGATTAAAATACAGTGTAATTTTTATGTTTGCCAGTCAACCAATACAAAAACATAGACATAAACACACTTACTATCGGTATTCAATAGTTTTGAAGAAATATAGACTGCGCTAGACAATAGAGTGAATATTAACTAGTGAATTAGTCAAAAATGTTACGGTTGAGCTAGTAAGTTAGGTCGTATGATTTTTCTATAAAAATTGTTTAAAAATACATATATCGTGGTTATGTCAGGAAAAACTTTTTACCTAATTACTCTTTTAAACAGTTAAGGTCCTGTTAAGATTTTGTACAGCTAGATTTTACTCTATCAAGTTTATGGATTTAATGGAAAAAGGCTATTAATAATCAGACAAAGATCTTTCATTTGTTCGTGAAGTTATTAACCATTCATCAAAGCCAATGTTGGATGAAGCAACCATCTCAACTCAGATATGTGGGAGTTAAATTTAGCAAGCTAAAAATCGACCATAGTTATACAGATGTTTTAACGCTTACTTTAAATTTGGAATACAAAGATTATTCCGATATAGTTAATAAAGAAAGGATTATTTTGAGAAATTAAATTGAAATTCAAAACTTGAAAGAAGAATAAAGAATGAATTCGTCAGTAAAATATACGTTTATTGTATTTATAAAGATTTAGACAGACATTTCAATTAGTTAACTGACTGAAACAAACACGACGAGAATACGACTTAAAGTATTTTCAATGATTGTTTGAATTAACTCAATAACAACAATGAAGTAATTCAAACTCTTATTAACAGTGATCTAAAAATCATATCTGTTGAATAAATTAGTGTTTGTCTTGAATAATTAGCTGAGTGGACAACACTTTGGTGTTGGAATCAAAAAGTACAAGGTTCAAGATTTAATGTCAACATAAACAGTGAGATGTCGGTATATCTAGACGGAATTCTAAATAGGACGAAACGCGTGTACCAGATTTCGCTGATAGTCATTATTCATTTATCTACTTGATAAAAATTGGAACATAACTCTTAAAAATCAACAAATTTGACAAACATATAACTAGTACTTCGCATACTTATAAAATAGGTGGTATAAAATTAACTATCGCTTTCTTTAGAATAGAAGAGGGAAGATTTGTGAAGATTGTAGAATGTCTTAAATCCCAAACTGATATAGCTACGCTACCACCTAGAACCAAGAAGGATTGGGAAGCTATTTCGACCTAGCTTGCGACTCCTCAGTAGTGTACTTCGACGATCGCACCAGTCAATCAGCTACTACGTAGGACCAGGCACATATGTGCATCGGTCCAATTTGCCATACCTCATTAGCACAACAAGATGAACACCGGATTCATAGAAGTAGTTAATTCAGTGGTGGTAATATATAAAAGAAAGATTGCATATAAGAACATAGTATAGGAAGAAAGAATTAGTTCGTATGAAGAAAGATATGAAGTGATTTTAATCTCTTAGTTTAAGGGAAGATCCTAAAAATGCACACCTCGCCTTATCCCATGGATATCCGTCTCCGGCAGTAAAGTCTCAACAAGTACAGAGATAACACAAAAATTATTCATAAAAAGGTCGTGTGTGATCGAACTCAAGCAGTTGTCCCTTGGACACTGCGGTCACGCTCTAAGGTCACTAAGACCACCTCTAATCTAATTTCCTTTTCAGGTACCTCCAGAAGAACCCTATAACGTTGTGGGCAACGGAGAAGTGATAACCGCCCTCATACCTCTAGCAGCACTCAAAACCACTGTATTAATAATAAACCCACCTCCTCAATTCCTATTATTTCTCCTACATCGACGATCGCACCAGAGACGGACATTTCAAAATCTCCACAAATCCCTCACACTAATAATTATTGTTCGCTCACTTGTGATTAGCTTCAGGATGCAACTTCTGGATTTCTATCGAAAATTGTTAACCAGTGGAATTTAATCACGTACGTATGAGACAGTAATTTATTGCAACTAATGGGAGATGGTCGAGTAATATCGTGAATCGAATGAAATTAGATACTTGCAGAATCGGATGCCGGCTCTGTAATCTAGATGTTAAGTGTTAACACGCGAGACCTGCTGGTACTGAACTCAATATTCTGTGGTAAAGTCGCAGATGTACGCTATTGAGGAGTCATATACTAAAACGAAACAGATGTATAATGTGTCTTGGTTTTTAATGGGAGTTTAGCTCGTGATTAAACCTATGAACATTATTTGTCTTACATCTTTATACTAAATATTTGAAAGAAAAACTTTTATGGAGAAAAAATTGAACTTATCCAGTAAACAAAACATAAAGAGGTCAAGGTGGAATTTAAAAAAAGATCAGTGGAACAAACAGCCAGCAATAAAACCCAACAGTTAAACACAGTGAATCATCATATATTAACACAGGTGGTCATCATCATCATTAACAAACTACTAACTACTATTGTTACTACTAGTAGTAATAGTACCACTCTTTTCGAATAGTAATCAATAAGAGCGAACACAGTCACAAAAATAACGTCAGTAGTTTACACACATTTCGCACAATCTAAGTGTGCTTGAATGTGATGAAATAATTTGCATAGAGAATAATAATAAATAAATAGATAAAAATTATTGAAAGAAAATAAACCGCAATTCTAAAACAACAACAATCACATTACTAAAATGGACGAAATTCTATATATATATATATATATATATATATATATATATATATATATATATATATATATATATATATATATATATATATGGGCGTCTATTAATTGACACTAAGCTCTTCTTCACTGTGCTATGTTCGATATTTTGTATATGTAAATATAGGGAGACTGGTAGGTAGGTGAAGTACACAACAAATTTATAATGACTAATATATTTAGTGTATTTAATGAAATGCATTGAATTTTCATATACTGTGTTCATTGTCCGTTATATATATATATATATATATATATATATATATATATATATATATATATATATATATATATATATATATATATATACTGTAAAATGAACGAATCAACTAGTACTGCTTAGAGTAGTATGTTAAATAAGCGAATATTAAAATATGGGATCATACACACACATACACAGTTTGCAATCACCAAATAAAAGTGTTTAAAGGATATAGCTCGAATTAAAGCATGTTCCAAGCAGGATTATATTAGAGCAAAAAACTGGCTTATTCTTGACCAATCAGCGCTAGTGGATATTTAGAGGAGATTAGAATTTTATCTTATAAAATTATAAATATACTAACGTTTTACTTACTGTCATTCACTCTAATTCAATTAGATTTATTTTGAATATAATCACACACCTGTCGAAGCCGTGGTTTCATTTTAGTGACTAGTCGAGTGAACTAAAGTGTCTGAAGAATACTAAACAATAAGAAGTCGGATAACAATAACTCTCAGTAATTGTTTGATTTAACACCTAAGTACTATGAGGATGATACAGGAAATATAGGCTTTTTATTACCACTGCAGGTGACGATGATACGATGAAAAAAGTGGGAACAATACTAGGAACAACGCGATGGTTTTTGAATCAATCGGCACTAGGTTCGAGTCTTGCAGTGAACATCAACTCTGGGATGCAGGCACGTACAAATGAGACAGAACGTGCAAATTGGACTCCAACACTGCCACCATCTACCTCTGCTTTAAATGCTCGTGACTTAATGGCGATATCAAGACAATTCGTACAGGATAGACATGTGCCAAAATAGATTGATTAATTCCAGTCCTAAACATCAATGGGAAGATCCTAACAACTAATATATGTGAATTATAATTCTACGAATACTCGGTGCATTCTTGAAAATAAATCATCGAGGATGCAAGTGAAAAGGTGCCAAGTTCAAATGTATAGACTGTTAAAAAATTTAAAATAGAGAATCCTAAATACTAACTTTTTTATTAAAGTTAATTCAGGATCAATTTTTGATAAATAATGGAATAAATGGAAACAGAGTAAACAGACATGAAAATAATAATGATTGGTCAGTTGAGTAATTCGAAATAATTTGAGTCAACTGGAATGAAAAAATTAGAAAAGTTTAATCACAAACACTAAGATACGTTGTAATTTTTACATATTACGATAGAATTTGTGGTTTGGAATTATTCAGTAATTATTACGTCTAATGCTTTGGGAAACACACTAATTTTTTGTAGCCATCATGAGCCTACTAGATCTGGGATATTCAGAGTTAAACTTCAGGGTCAAGAAACAAAAAAATATGACTGTAGGCCTATTGTTTGAGTGGATTTCTCCATATTACATGACACTGAGGAAGTGTATGTGCTTTGTGTATTACACAAAATCATCGTGTTTAGCACAATTTCGGTCAAACGTATTTGGGTTCATTTAAAGTTAATTGGCACACATCTAAATATTGTTCAGTTACCATCTAAATAAAAAACAGTTTAGGGAAACGATAGTGGAACTGTAATAAAGCTTTCTAATTAGTGTATTTAGCGTTTGTTCCATTTTCTTTTTCTAGTTTTTAAATGACTGGACATAAGATTCTTTAAGTCTGTGCAGCAATTGAGATGGAAAATCTGAATACAATAGATGGTCAACTTGATCTGACTATCAATCTTTGGTCATTTTTCAATAGTTTTAGTTCAAAATGTGTTTTCTTTCCTTGTACATTCTCAAATTAAAATGTTATCAATTTTCGATAACAAGTTGACTAAAGGTTTTTACCTACTAATAAGCACTGTAAAAATAGTGACTAGTGTCAAAGTATAACAATGTAAATTTGTAATAATATACTTTTAATGCTATATGAAAAATAAATTCATTTGTAAGGCTTATTTAGACTTTTTCGTTTATGTTAAAGACTGCAATCGATCAATCTCTTTTTTAGTATATATGTATTCTGTGCAGACTAGCTACATGTTGTCATTAGGTCACAAACATTATTAGACAGAGTGAGCTAGCGGCTAGTAGTGGGATCCACGGTGCATAAGCTAATGAGTAACTGAATTCATTAGCTAAGGGTATAACGCGTTTAGCATTGTACGAGGGAGGTACTAGGTTTGTGTTCTGGTGTGACCATCAACACATCCAAATACTTCATACACATAGTTCCCTTTATTATCTTAAATAGAGCAAGAAAAAAGATTGGCGCGTCTTGGATTTCATTACTGGGCACTGTCCAACCTTTCTTAATATATAGAAAACTGTATAGTTTGAAATGACTCACTTCTAAAGATTCCCGATTTTCTGATTCCCAAATAGCACGTTCATCTTCAAATTCTTGTCTACGTTTCTCAAACTCGGTTAACTGTGTTAATAAGTGTTTCTCTGATTGTTCAGCACGTTCCACGAGATCACGTTCTGTTTCAATTAATTTATTTGTACGTTCATGAACCTATTATAAACAAGTTTTTTTACAAAACAAAGAAGGATAGAATAACTTTAATTTGTTGGAATGAAGATGGGAGAAAACCCCCAAATGCCCTGGTATGGCCGGGAGTGAGGGGAGTCTGTGTTCCCACTCGAAATGCTCTCACATGGGCACGCGTACACAACCACTGATAGAGAGGTCCTACTTACTAACCCATGGCTGGGGTGTCGTTTACAAAATGTAAAGGCAAATGTCAAGAGGTTTAACCAGGTTAATGGATACGGAGGATCCACCTAAAGTTAGAAAACGCTGATTCCAAACCAATGGTGTACATGGGCTCCATGGTTCTGAAGGAACAAATGGCGTATGAACCTATTGTTGGGCACCGGCTACTATGGGACTACATGTGGATTCGACCTCTAAGTCAAAAGCTCATAGTGTGGCCTCCCTGGACCCCGTGGCATCTTCGTCTGCTTTTGCTTGCGTTGGTGTCGCATTAAGCACTAGAGCTGAGGCAGCACTGATCGACTGGATCCCCAGTAACAGTCAGTTGTGTGTTGTTAAATTAGAAAGCTCCATCAAATTACGAAGAAGTCGGTGAAAAACAATGTATTTTCGTCATCTCCGCCTACGCTCTGACAGATCACAGCTCGGACGCGATCAATAATGAGTTTTAGCACCAGTTAACTGTTTATCTACATCAAGTGTGTACGACAGATTTTGTAATAGTAGCTGGAGACTTGAATGCACAGGTCGGTCGTCTAGGCACAGAAGAGAGTCGTTTAGGCGTCCGATGGTGACTTGTTAGTCGAAGGTCAAATAACGATGACCGTCTCCTGCAACTTTGCGTAGACTACAACCTGTTTCGAACAAGCACTAACTATCGACACAGTCATACCCAAAGTGCTATCTGGTGTCTTCCCTTTGCATCTCAAACCAGGACTCGGATTGATCACATCAAGATCAGCTACCGCTGACGTGGTTGTGTAAGAGACTGTCGCTCTTTTGGAGTACCTATCTGGACTCTGATCATGCTCTTGTTTATACTAATTTTATCGCACATTTCGGTACTCAGTAAATCCATCGTCTTAAACGGATTGGTGTCAACGAACTGGTTGCCCCTTCTGTTGCAACTAAATACCAAACCGAGTTAGGTTCAAGGCTAGTTACCATCCCACTGAGAAGTATAGATGAGCATTGGCTGAAATTGCATGACGCCACGAAAATGGCGAATAAAATCGCTTGCGTCCCGCCTATAAGCACTGGGTTTCTTCAGACTGCTTCCGGTAACCACCGGAAGTTCTTTCAACTCATCCGAGTCATTTGGCAGCAAGATGTCTGGTGTGAGTGGAATAATCTGTGAAGATGACGAGATGCCGATCACTAACATCCATCGACGTCTTGGACGATGGGGTCTTCGAGGATCAGTTCAACTGATCTGCTGCCCAGACAACATTGATCTAACTGTCCTGCCCCCCATGGCCTGTGACGACTGATCCAACTAACGAGGTGGAAGTTCGCAAGGAACTCCAACTCTTGAAGCGACACAAATCACCAGGTTTAGATGATTTACCCTCGGTCCTCTTTGAAGATGGTGGTGACTCTCTGATTAGAGAATTGAGTTGTTTACAAATGTCTGGCAATCAGAGTGTTCCAACATCATGGAATGAGTCGATAGTTGTCCTCATCTTTAAAAAGGGTTTACGTCGTTTATGCAACACCTATCGTGGGATATGTTTACTTTCAATCGCGTCCAAACTATCGGCTTCCATCATTGTTGTTGTTCAAAACCCGAGAAAAACTGACTCGTGGGGAGCAGGCTGATTTTCGCTCTGGTCGAGGATATATTCATCATGTCATCACTCTCCACCAAATGTTGGAACACCCATCATACTTTTCACAACCCAACAATCCTAGTATTTCTTTGCGTTAGAGCTGGCTTCAATTCGTTGGATAGGACTATCCTCTGGGATTGTCTAATGAAAAAGGGTGTGTCTGAAAACTTTGGCTAGAGACGTTATCAGACATAGTTCAGGATAGAAGCCAGTGGCGATCCTGCTGTACCTTTCTCTTACTTTCTTCATAAAAATGAACGTGAATTCTTTAACTAAAAGAATACTTTTCCTAACTGGAATGCTTTTCCCATTATAATAAGTATTACTTCACTCTCGTACACTAATTTCTATTTATTGCTGTTCTTTTTATTATACACACTTAACATTCCCTATTTCTTTATATATATACCAAGATACCAAGAACTGTAATCATAAAGAAAAATAATGTTACAAATAAATAGATTAAAAAACCTTGCCTTTTGTTCAAAAACATTCTCCATTTCAGACTCTAATTTAGCCAATTTACGCTGATGCGCTAAACGTTCCGTTTCTAATTGACTTAAAGGTTCACGACTATCTTCTGTAGCTAAAAATTTACTTGCTTCAGCAATACTCGTTAAACGTGATGAAAAATAATTTGTATAGTGTACGTGATGTGTCATATCGATTAAATCCTAAACAATGTTTTGTATAAAAGAAAAAAACGGTAAAAAATATGAGTAACAATATAACTGAGAAATCTTGTGAAAAATGGTTTAGTTTGCAAGTGATTGCTTTCATGGAATGAGAACAATTGGCTAAGTGCATTCTATGAAATTTCAAAGAATTGTATGGCGTGCTGAATCCACTGTTAAAGAGTAAAATGTCAGAGTGCGAGAAACCTCCTTAGTTTTCAATGGTACTCCAATCGTGATAATATCTATCAATCAGCTTACATCACATGCCGTGTACAAATGCTAGATTAAGATGAAATGATAGGTGAGTTATTGATGGTTAAACACTATTGGTTCGGATTGAGCTCAATTATTCGAAGGATGCTGACAAATAACAAGAGTGTACATCGGTCACAGAAACCGGACAACAGTCTAACACAACGAATCGACAAAAACCACCTGTGAATAGAACTAGTTGCGGAAAATACATTTCAATTTTATTAAAAGCCTGCTAAACTTCATATACACCGGGTAATGCTTGGTTCTGCTACGTGCGGAATAAATAAAATAGGAGTATTAGATAACGAGAGTTGAGAACAATACCATAATAGCTTAGGAGGCAATCTATTTAATTCCGTAATATAAATCCTTTTCATGACCTTATGGACTGAAATGAACAAACACTATACATATTTATTAAATGACCTAGAGGTTATAAAAGTATTTATTGCTTAAATGAGATGAGCTTCGTTGAAGTTTCTATTATAGGCATAGTATCTGGTGTACACAATTGTTAACTGCAATACATGTTTTCGTCTCAGACATTTTTTTCTTTTAGAAACAATAGGCATGAATAATAAATTGTAAGTTGATGTAAGTCTAAGAAGTATGCAAAATCTTAACAAATAACCTTCCTCTTTTAAAAAAAATGGGTTGGAATCCTTTAACCCAATAGTTATCTACAGAGACAAAAGTTTGTTAAACCTCTCCTATCTGTCTTTTAATATCTATCACTTACATAGCCTCACAGATGTTCATATATTTATTTCTTATCATGTCGAGGGATTACATAATCAATTATCAATTTTATTATCATTACTGCAATCTCTTTTATCTCGATAATGACTACTAGTAATAATAACACTTGTTCTACTCTGTATTATTACACATTAATTTTAACTACGTTTATTCAAACACGTTGTGTCCCTACTCTTATTATTATTATTATCATTATTATTATTTCGGTTACATTTCGGACATTCATCTAAAATTCATAAACTAAAGTATGTTAGACATTTGTTTATAATTGTATCAATAATTGTAATTTTAGGCTGTATGCAGCTGATGAAAAGTCATCAAATAAAATGATGAATTGATTTTGTACTGCAAATCCTTGTTACTCATGCTCCGTTTAGATTTATTATGGAATTTAGTTGCATGAAAAAAAAATAAATAAATAATCACATAGAAGTATTATTTCCGCTAAATTCACTGTATATTTTTACATTCCTAGACAGTATATTTCAACAGTGGTAGCAGAACGATTCTAAAACGCCTTGTAAGATATAATAGAACCTTCATAACCGGACGCTTCACATTGATTTAAAACCGGAAATCAGACGTAGGCAAGAATAAAGAAATCTAATACTAACTCAATAATCCTTCATGCTAAAAGACGATGTATGGGAAAAATCAGTCAGTGTGTGATGTGAAACTATAAATCCAACAGTATCCCCAAAATCATATGATAAAAATCATCATGTGTTTACCAATGACTAACTCATAAGATAATTCCCAGAATTCTAGTGACAAGTAGAGTTAAACCATGTCGGGAGTAAGACAATGGCAAAAGATGATAGCTGAACAACATTGTGAATTGACTGAAGTTAGAACTGTAAACTGCCAGATCCAAAAATTAGTGGTTTGTAGATTAAAAGCTCTTGTTGAGGCCTGAAGGTGTAGTAAACATAATAGCATTACACACTTACATGATTCATCCTAACTTTTGGACAAACTTTAGTAACTCAGTCTGCATGTGACTATTGAGTCATTTTTATCTTAATAGCTCCACTCTTTGAATAGGAAGTTGTGACCTTCATCACATATACCTCTTATGTTCGTGTTCTTGCAATTCTACACTTGTAAGTCTCATTTGTGCTTATGTGTTGTCTTGATACTTGTTACTTTACCCAATACCTTTATATCTGTGTTACACTATGCATCGTCTATTTTGATTTATATTAATGCCTGCAATGAGTAATATCCTAAGTAGGCTTAAAAGCCTTTCACGTTGCACTCTTTACCGTCTGTATGCGTAAATGAATGTCTAAAGTAAACTCTTCTAAAACTAGTCGTATTTGATTTTTATGACCACCGTTACCTAATGAAGTTAGCCCAAGTATAATAAACGGAATTAAGGGGAGGATTTATACTTTATATTTTATTCATCTAGTGCAGAATAGAATCAAACAGCGGGAGCTATCAAGTTCCTTAATTCAGTCTCTGGCGCGGTCGCATGGATGAACACTGATGAAGAGTCCCCCACGAGGATGAGACAAATGTTCAATGTTTCTTGATTTTCGGTAGTTTTCTAACCAAAATTAATCCATAGTGTTAAAATCCAAACTCAATAATCTTTCTAACGCCACTGGAAAAAAATATGTCTATATATGACCTATTCTGATCAATCCCAGCATTAGTTTAAATAATAATCAATGGGAAAGAAACCGGATTAACTAACCTGCAAATGAACACTCATTAGTAAATGCTTTAATGCATTAAAATCATTGTGTGCAAGATTGTCACATTCAACAACCCCCCAAGGATAAGATCGACCGTATACCTTGATATTGACAAGAAATAAATACATGTAATAGCATAAACTCGTAAGGGATATTTTTATATTCCACAACAAAAACAGTTAATTAGAGACAATATTTGTATAAAAATACACTAGACATAAATTAGTGGCATATGCCTCACTGTATATACAGAAACAGTAGTTATGTATTATAATAGCCAACTTGTTAAGGTTTGAGATTCTAATCGATATTACAGGGTAAATTGCCCAACCAAGATTCTAACTATCGAATAGTTCTCACCAGTAGGACCAGTAACTTTTCATTTATCAATTGACACATTGGCCAGTGAACAGCAACTGGTTCATAACGCTTATTGATCCTCGAGCTCCTTTTAATTCAGCAGACTAGTTCACTATTGTACTAAGTTCAGTTATAACTGAAAATATACACAATGACTAACCACGCAGCACACCAAATACAAAATTATACTTTAAATATAAATATACCATAAGTGGTAGAGGGCGACACAAACAGTACATAACTAAATAGAGATAGCTAAGGTATAGTAAGACGCGTAGCAACAGTTAATAGGCTGAAACCTTACAATGCCAGAAATATATAAATGTAACGATACATTAATCTCCTGACCATAAAGTAAATATGTAGACAACAATAGTCCGAAAAATAATTCCGAAAGTTTCAACTTTCCCAATACTCTTCCCATTATAACAATAGACTAAAAATGTGTTCGATTTGTAATGATTATTGTAGAGCTTGCCACAAATATGGGCTGGTTCGAGTTACCGTACTATACATTAGCACGACGAGATGAAATTAACCAGATTATTGGTAAACGAACTGAAATAATGTAGTAGGAATGATAACGAAGAAAATGAAATTTACTACATGGTTTGAAAAGACAAAATGAAGATCTATGTATCTACGACTACAGAAACTCAAGACCTAGAAGAATGCAAAACGTTAATGCATCTTCGTCAATGTGACTTATTCTAAATAACGCGTGTAATGTCTCCGACCACTAATCATGGTTATGGAGTGGTTCACAACTAGGTAATCTGCATTTTTCGACAGAGCTCAAACCCACAGTCAATGAATTGATGAACTGATGTCATGTTTCTGTTTGGCCTCCCTTAGATTTCTTCAAATGTATTCCTACACTAGCCAACATCGTCCGTTGAGATGGGGAACGGTTTTGTATACGGAAAATACATGTCCCAACCATCACATTCTATGAAGATTAACAGCCTTAACATCTACCTCAGTTTAATATCACGTTTTAATTCAGAAAAAGATTGCCAAACTACACTTGAACAATAATTGGATATATTTTTAAAATCTTATTGGTTCCCCAAACTTCATGTTTTTAAACTGAATTACTGATACCAGTCTAGGCATCGTATAACAACTGTTATATTAAATTCATATCCGATTCTCTTTTAAGAGTTAACAGAAGAGAACAAAAAAGTAGGTATCAAAGCAAAATATTTGAAAAAAGCTACAACAAATTTCAGATAATTCAGAAGATTAGTACCAGAGATTTAAGTTTAGGCAATAGCATCAAATGCAGATCTCTAACACTTATGAAAGATGTTAATCTTAATGTCAATCTTCTCCACAAGATTGTTAGCTTCAATAATACCTTGATATGTTGCGTCAGTTCAAGTGGGACCAAGAATTTGATCACATCTCTTTTGTTACCTGAGACGATCATGATCTGCCATACCACTCAGTTGGCATCTTTATAGATGGTAATCTATCTTCCTCTGAGATTCCATTGCTCCTGGTCGATCCATTATCTAGCACGTCTTGTCAGTAATACATTTCGTTTGATCTCTGAGAGATGGAGGCAACGTAAGTTCATTTGATCAATAGGTTTGGTACCAAATGGACCAATTATTGTCCATCCGGAAATAGTTCTTACTGTTTGAGGTTCCCATGGGTTTCCTATCTTTCGTCCTAAAACTCTGTGAGATTCCAGTACATCAAAACCTACTAACAATACAACTCATTTAGTCTTAAATTTCATCAGCCTTATATTCTTCAAATGCCGCCAGGACTGGAGTTGTTTTGGCATCAGGTTTTATGCGTCTTACTATCGGTAAGGCTGGCATTACATGTGCCTGTTCAACGAGTATGCAAGCATCTGATTTGCATGCTTGTAAGTTTAATTACACAGCCATAGTAACCCTAGGATTATTCATCTCGGAGGTGAAAGGAATTGTGGAACAAATTAGCTATTCTCTTGATCAGGAAGGAATTTATGGAGATTATAGTAATTTCAATAGTTAAATTCATAAGTTGATCTAAGCTAGACCACCATTGAAAACCTGGAAGCATTGGACGACCGACTCATTATAGTATGGGACTCCTTAGCAGTGCGCACCCACGATCCTGCACGCGGATCTCGAACACATGACCGTCGATCTCGCACGCAAACGCTTAAACTCTAGACCACGGAACGGGCATCCAACGGCGTTAATGTTTAACTTTGATCAATCCAGGATCTTGCGAAACCCTTCATCCATTGTCTGAAGTTCATAATTGTTTCAGCCCGACACGGATTAGACTCCACTGGTTACGGCTTCGCACTAGAATTCCAGGTGAGCACATGATTACTATCAGGATTGGGATTTGTGCAGATTGTAGCAATTTTAATAGTTGACACGAACATATTACTTACAACTTAGCAAACACCAAAATCCTAAAAAAATGTTTAAGAAATATGTATGTTTATCAGACTGATCTCATTTAAAGTACCACCAGACAGGTGTTTTGTCCAAACATAGGGCTTATAAGTAGTGTGCATCCACGAACTCATCAGAACACTGAACTTAGGATCTTCATGGCCCATGGCAAACGCTTAGCCATAAGAACCGTTGGATCTGGGGTCTAACAGCACAATTCCAGTCCCAATTAATTTACGATAAATATAATAACGACCATCAAATGTCATTGATGATAACTGTTTCACTCAGTTCAAATGGCCCATAAGTGAAACAGTTTATCGATACAACCATAAGTGGGATCAATCTGTTACGAATACTAATTACAAATGAAACCAATCTGGATAAAATCCCTTCAACTAAAATATGTATATTACCTTCCTACCATCCGGTAGAGTAACAAGATTATTACTGGTGACCACTGCAAATGGTTGACGTCCTCGAGCTTGACGAATTTCATTGACTGAATATGATTCATCAGCACCACCTAATTTAGCAACCGATTCAGGGAAATCGTATAATTTAATATTGTGATTGTGTAACTCTTGTAGAATTGTTTGTTTGAACTGAGAACATTCATCTGGTGTAAGACTATCCGCTTTACCAATAATAACGACTACATTTACCTAAAAATACAAAGTGATGATGACAATCATTATTAATACTATTTTTTGGTTGAAAAAATTGCCAACTAGAATGTAAAGGTCAGTTAAAAAAGTCTATACACATAATTAGATTTTAGGGGAAGCGGGATGAGAAAAGTATTTTATCTTGACTTTTTGCACAGAAGTTATTAGCTCAATAATTTAATGAGCGCTTGTTATATTGTAGCTTTGTAACACATTTAATTTGCAATTTAAGAGATTGAGATGATGTGTTGGAGTCAAAGACCTTTTTCCCATAGTTTACTTTTTACGTGAGGGTTGAGTTATTTCCAATATAACACAATTTCCCTTAAGTTGCACAAGATTTAATTTTAAATCCATAACAGATATCATGCTAAACTAACTACAATAAATAATTTTGATATTTTCGTTTTTTTTACTTGCGCATAGTTAAACTGAAGTGAATTAAAGTACTGTGAAGATATACAATTGATTCTGAGAATCAAAATTGTGGGAGAACAATAAAAATGAATTATTTTCTCCAGTAGTACCCTAACCTTTGATATAATGAACAGTGCAGTGATATTTTAAGCAGGGTCAGATAAAGTATCGCAGTGTAATTGAGAGCGTGAAACTCAACCTATCTAGTTTTCGTTAGTTGAATGTGCCTGTTAAAAATGACTGACCAATTGTAGACCTTAACAATGACAACGAATTTCATTACCGACCACAATCCATCAATTATATGAAACGTGACAAATTTGCTATATCGATTTAATTTGCACAGGAAGCGCATATCCAAATAAAGACTGGTCAAAATTCAGTCATGAATATTAAGCCACGAGATAGTTTGAACACTTGCTAATTATGGTATTAAACTATCGGTGGGAATAGAAAAATATAGAACTCATAGGTTATATATATATATATATATATATATATATATATATATATATATATATAATAGGGGTTATAATAATTCAACTTATACTTTTTGAAGGTTCCGGATTAGATATCAAAGTTGCAAAAATACCTTGCTGACGAATACCGAGCAGCACGAGACCTAGGTCCATGGTTTCCTGTAAACTACTACCATCAATCACTTAGTGTCAAGACTTTAATTTGATCTCATTATTCTAATAAACCATTCAGTTTGTACAAATAAAAGGTATCACTCCTCCTCAGCGGGTCAGAATTCGAAGCTAGAGGGTTAAAGAAAGTGTGAATGTGGTTCGGTAATCACGTAAAATATTATTCAATCATATTTAAATCATGCCAACTGCACCGAACAGATTATGTGACAAAACGGTCAGAAACTAGTTATCTATGTTAACCAGTTCTAAACAACACAGTACGTGGTATCAATGTTCATTAGCCCAAGAAAGCACACTTCACTTAACCATTACTGAGAGGAAATTAATAATATAAAAGTCGAGTCAAAATAATAACGGTATCATTGATAGTAAAAAAAGGCTGAATATCAAGAATGGATACAGACAAAAACAAATAAAACCAGGAAGTGTCAAATAATATGTAAACTCAAAATTCAGTAGGAGTAATGTCACACTCAGTTTTCAACCAATGATTACGATTATCTTATGAACCTTATAACCAAGAAGTTTTCACGTTCTAACATTATATAAACTAGTAGTCAGTCACTTAACGGACTAATATTACTTCCTATCTAATTATTCATAGTCTTTTGCTAGTCTACTCTTACATTAACTAAAATTGTACAACAACTAGGCGCTCAAGTCACAAGAGTATATAGTGTGTACTGCCTAACAGAAAAGTATGGCCAGATATACTATTAATATGAAACAGTGCATAAAATATAAGATCTGATGAATATTAACAGGAGCAAAAAAGTCGCCTTTTCATCAGTTTTTTCTTTTTAGGTCAAAATTGTTCACTCAAATAGTTATTTCTTTGCATACACTTATAACATCGACTTTATCCGATACACACAGATTACGTGTATACACTGAATATATTTGCATAAAAACATTAATAAATTTTAATTTATTCCATAAACATACTTTAATCAATGTTACATGTTTATATGTAGTCAATATGTCGATATTTCTTCATCCTCTTAACTTTACATAAACATGTACGATATATTTTGACCTTTAAAAGTACTACCGAACAGAAACGTAGACTTATCTTTAGCTTATGCCAATTGATTAAGACATAAGGACAACATATACGCTAAAACTGGTAATGAACCAAAAAACTGCAACACTTTAACGCCTACCTTTATTTGTGTAAGCAGCTACCGAATAAGTCGAAGTAAACAAAAACCAGAATCGATTATACAGTGAAAAAAAGGAGTATTGTTTTTATAATTACCAGAATGGGTTTAGATTAACCTCGTTTTTGATGTTATTGACTGAATTTTGATCAATCTTCGTGGGTATATGTGCATTTTGTGAGGATCGTCTCGATATAGCCATTTTTCACAAGTTTCTTATAGAAGAGATTGACTGAGGTTACCAGTACTATCAGTACCCCAGGGGATAATGCATTCGATATTTGAAGCGAAAGGTAGATGATCTGAGGTCTGGAGTAAACACTTACATTTGGATGCGGGTACATTCAGCTGATGAGCCCCAAATAGAACAAAACACATGTACTGAATCCCACTTCTAGCCACAATCAATCGCTTTGATCGAAAAATTGTGTTATTGTTACTGTTTATTGTAAGTATTTATATGACACGTTCCCGACCAAAGCTGCTACCTTGACGCGGTGGTCGGGCTTGCCTATCGTGATGACCCAACCGAGCTATATTGGCTGGAACATATGTTCCTGTAGATTCTACCATGCCAGGAAGGTCGATTGGTGAACAGTAAGACTAAAAGCAGCAACTCAAGGTCTGAGGGCGAAGTCGTACTGCTGACTGTAGAGGGGTGTGACAGCAGTAAGGTGTTTCCCTCGGACAACCAGCATCTGCAGCGATGCTGGGGTGGGGTTAGAAAAGGTCGACCCTAAAAATGTCACAACTCACCTTACTTCACGGATTTCCGTCTCCGGCGGTAAGGCCCTTTGAAGAACGGAGCTAACTCACTAAAAACCTTCCACAAAAGGGCCGTGCGCGACCGGCCTCAAGCAGCTGTCCCTTGGGCTCTGCGGTCACACTCCCAGGTCGGTAAGACCAACACTAATCCAATTTCCTTCTCAGGTTCCTCAAGAAATACCCTTCCACGGTGTGGGCAGCCGGGAAGTGATATCAACCCTCATACCCGTAACAGCGCACGAAACCAAGTTGGTCACATTCAAACTCTTCCTACACCTCCTAATACCTCTCTTATTTCCATGACTAACCCTCCTCACGTTTCTTTATCACATCGCACCGCTAGGGCAAACGATTCAAGTACGCGGAACGCTATTCCTAGTCTCCTGAAACCACGCTCTAAACTACACGTAGGAGCTTTTAACGTCCGAACACTGTGTCAAATAGGACAACAGGCTTCCTTAGCTAGGACTTTAGAATCCCGCGCCATCGATGTGTGCTGCGTCTCCGAAACGCGCATACAGGATCCGAGTAGCGTCATTCATTTGACATCACCATGTCAAAACAAAGAACCAAATCGATTCACAATTCGTGTATCCGGAAGCCCTGATTCTGCTTCCCGTGGCCTCGCCGGCGTAGGTATAGCATTGAGTCCTAGGGCAGAACTAGCTCTCTTAGAGTGGATCCCAGTAGACAGTCGTTTATGCGCTGTCCGACTAAACGGAATAGTAAGAATCCGGAAAGATAGGGACACTCGTCGTTGCCTCTTCGTCGTTTCTGCCTATTCTCCCACTGACTGCAGCACAAATGATGTAAAAGATGAGTTTTACAGAAAGCTCTCCGACCTTCTCCGTAAAGCTAGGCGCTCTGATGAAGTAATAGTGGCCGGTGACTTTAATGCTCAAGTAGGTAAACTAAGCGATAGGGAAAGACATCTGGGTGGATCTTATAGCATCATGGCTCAAAGAACAGATAATGGCGACCGTCTGTTGCAGCTATGCTCGGATAACCTCCTCTTTCTTGCAAATACTAACTTTGAGCATAAGAAAAAACATCTTTTAACATGGAGACTCCCTAATTCGCCCCAGCGTTGGACCCAAATAGATCACATCGCTATCAGCCACCGATGGAGGGGCTCGATAGAAGACTGTCGCTCATTCTGGAGCACATGCTTAGATTCAGATCACGCTCTAGTACGAGCGCGTATTTGCTTGCGTCTTACTGGACGTAGGAAAGACGCTGCAAGGAAACCTCTTAGCGGCTTACTTAATGATAGTCAAGCTAAGAGTAGATTTCAGGAACAACTAGGAAAACAGTTAGGCAGCCATGTATGTGATGCCCACCCCGAGGCAGCATGGAATGATATCCGAAAAGCTGTGGAAACAGCAGTGATATCTGCTAGTAAGGTAACCCGTAAGGTTAGGGAACGACACTGGATCTCAGCAGCATCTATCGCACTGATAGATGCTCGGAAACTCATTCCACCTGGCTCTGAACATAATGAAGAGCGGAGTCAGCTTAAGCGCAAGCTGACAAGAAGTCTATGCAATGATCGTGAACAGTGGTGGGTAGCGAAAGCAAGAGAGATGGAAAAGGCAGCGGCAATAGGTGATAGCAGACAATTGTTCAGACTCGTTAAGGAAACCGGAATTAGGAACCCGACTGTTAGAGAAACACTCTCAGAGAAAGATGGACATATTATACACTCTCAATCCAGGAGATTGGATCGATGGGCAGAACATTTCAGGGATCAGTTCAACTGGCCTTCAGCCACACTTCGATTTCCCACGATCTCTAGTCAACCTGAGTGGCAAGTTAATGTAGGTCCTCCGTATCTTTACGAAATTGAAAAAGCCATAGGAAATTTGAAGCGAGGGAGAGCAGCAGGCCCTGACAGATTTACTCCTGAGATTTTTAAGGATGGTGGTCCAGTATTAGCAGTGAGATTAACTGAGGTCTTAGGTAGAATTTGGGAACTGGACGTAATCCCATCTGACTGGTCTCAATCACTGATTGTGCCAGTTTTTAAGAAAGGACAAAAGTCCTCTTGTGACAATCACAGAGGAATCAGTTTGACTAATATAGTGTCTAAAATATTAGCTTCAATAATACTTCGACGCTTAACCAAAGCTCGTGAAGAGCAGACTAGAGAAAATCAGGCCAGTTTTCGACCTGGACGTGGTTGCATAGATCAGATATTCACACTACGTCAGGTTCTAGAACACAGACACACGTTTAGACACCCAACAATGGTAGTATTTCTCGACCTTAAGGCGGCATTCGACTGTGTTGATCGTGAGGTTCTATGGCAGTGTTTGTCACTGAAAGGAGTACCAAAGAAGTACATTAACCTTATTCAGGCTCTCTACTCGAACACAACTGGTCGAGTGACAGCTTATGGCGAACTGTCATCAGAATTGATTACCTCAAGTGGTGTTCGTCAGGGCTGTCCACTCTCTCCATTCTTGTTCAACTTTGTTGTCGACGTACTTTTAGAGATAACACTCTCCTCATCTAAATTTCCAGGGGTTGAACTTCTACCAGGAGGTTCACTTGTTGACTTAGAATATGCCGATGACATAGTTTTATTTGGCGAAGACGCTGACAAAATGCAGAGTCTTCTGACCACTCTAAGCAACAATGCAAGCATGTTCGGGATGCGATTCTCTCCCTCGAAATGCAAAATGTTGCTTCAGGATTGGGTTGCATCGACACCCGAACTAATGATAGGGAGTGAAGTAATTGAGCGTGTCGATCGCTTCACTTATCTTGGAAGTCTCATCAGCCCTTGTGGTCTGGTATGTGACGAAATCTCAGCACGGATACAGAAGGCTCGACTAGCTTTTGCTAACTTGCGTCATTTATGGAGTAGGCGAGATATCCGTCTATCAACCAAAGGACGGGTTTACTGCGCAGCGGTTCGTTCCGTCCTGCTTTATGGAAGTGAAACATGGCCGGTAAGAGTAGAGGATATTCGTAGACTACTAGTATTTGATCATAGGTGTCTTCGAAATATTGCTTGTATATCCTGGGACCATCGAGTAAGTAATGCAGTTGTTAAGAAACGGGTACTAGGTAAGGATGGCAAATCAATTGATGAAGTGGTGAAACTTCATCAGTTGAGATGGCTGGGACACGTGTTACGTATGCCCAACAACCGACTGCCTCGACGTGCGATGTTTAGTGGTATAGGAGTAGGTCGGAAGAAAGCTAGGGGTGGCCAGACCAAAACATGGCACAAGTCCATGAAGTCACTGACAAGTGGACTGAGTCATGTCGGTAGGTGTAGACTACCTGGTTGGGGACCGCGAGATGATAGCAACCGATGGTTAGAGACCCTGAATGACATGGCTCAAAATCGTTTGCAATGGCGCAGGTGCATCCACTCTTTGTGTTCTCCCAAATTTTGATCTCCTGATTCCCCCTTGTCTCTTTTTTTTCTCTTCCCAAGTTTATTTCACTGTATTATACTTTTTAAGTAACATCTCCAAACACTAATTTTCCTGATTACTGCTTATACTCTTATTACCTCTACCACTACGGAATTTGAATCGACCACTGCATCTCTGTGCTGATGTGGTGTGGCAACTCGAACTGATGTACGTACGTACGAAGTTCTACGTTGTTACTGACTGACTGATATGACACATTGTTGTGAACAATTGAATTGCTACAAATAAGTTGTTTGTCTCTACTGTTCTTATTGTTATATTTTTTGTTAAAATTAACCTTATAAAGTACTGACTGCTAAAAACTGAAAGTCAGTTTTAGGTGATCCAATATTCTAACTTTTAATTAAGATGCAAAACAACAGGAACTGTTTAGAATAATAATGAAGTGTTTATAGGGTAGTGTTCATGAACGGAACATACAGTTCAATAGTGGGCCAAAATATCTTTTACAAATATTTTCTGGTTATGAACAATGTAATGAATGAAATTTTCCATTGAGCAGTCTCAAATCTCATTCATTTCTAGTGCCCGCGAAGCATTGTTCTGGTATCTTAGAATCGCCAAATAGGTAACGCTGAAGTAAGAATAGCAAATCGGTTGGTGAGGTAGTAGATTTTCTTCGACTGAAGTAGTTAGGATATGTATTAGGTATGACCAACTACCGCCGACCTTGATGCGCGGTGTTTGCTGGTGCAGGAGTAAGTTAGAAAGCAAATAGAGGTGGCCAATCCAAGACGAGGAATCAGTCTATAAAGTCATTGGATGTTGACCTGAACCGTGTTGGTAGATGAAGGCTATTAGATTTGAGTCCTCACGACGAATGCGTTCAGTGTTAGATGTTAGGTAATATGGCTCAGAACCGATTGCACTGAGTAAGACGTATTCACTTTTCGCCTTCCAATACGCATAATTTTTATTCTAAGAATTCATTCTTTCATCTTGAATCATATTGTTTATATCCGATGTTTTTGATTACCATTGAAACTGTTATTAATTCTACTTCTCTAGCATTTTCCATGACACGTTTATGTCTTTGTATGAGAACTTGAACCGATCCACACGTGTCAGGTTTTGCTCTGCTTAAGATTGAATGTCCTATTTTTTTCAGTTCGATTCTTATCTTGTTAGTATTTTTAAACATTTAATTACACTAATAGACTGTCAGCTCCTCACTTGATCGATGAAATTAATTTTACAAACACATTTGAATTAATTAAGATGGGTCAATTATCAATGTTTTAAGTATTGACAGAACCATGTGGAACACAAACTTCTGACTACATTGGAACTTTAGTGTTCATAAATATGTCCATAAACAGGTGCCAACAGTTGTAAGTGAGGACAATATGTCACTTAAGTACAATTTAGAAAAATCGTCTGTAATCAGCACATTTCAGCAGATAATATTATGCGTATAAACAAAACAGCAAACAGGATAACAATAAGAAAAGACAAATCTCTTAATTGATATCACAGATAAGAAAATGCCAGTAGAAGAAAAAAACAAATATTATTTATGCCTGTGCAGGTTATCGGAAAATAGCTCAGACTTGATGTTATTAGGTTAACTTAAGTGAATATAAACTTAAGTTAAAAATAATAAACTTATGTGGTGTATTTAAAAGTGACAATATGGTGACCAATATTTTCTACACGGTTGCCATCATGATTTAACTTGGTCAATTAAATGAATTTCCTAGACAATGGTCTTCGACTGAAATGTGGATATTGCACATTTTCAAGGTTTGTGTCGCTTATAATAAATTTAAACGGTGTAACAGACATTCCTGATGATTTTATCTACTTTTAGCTACACAAACCACAAAAGTCAGCTACCTAGTATGATCTGGGACAAATGCGTATTGGGTGGAGTCGGAACATCTTACTATAGAATACTAAAAGGTGTGATTAGCATAATGAAAAGCAGAAAACAGGAAATAATATCCACTGTACTGGGAAGCTAAACATAATAAATGTAGTTTGAAAGGGTTATATGAGATCGGGAGACGAAAAGTATGGGAATAGTAGGAAAATAGTTGTGCTTCATTTACCTAGATGGTTTTCTAGCATTTGATATGTCAACAATAATGAAGATAATAATAAAAAATAATAATAATAGTGATAATAACAGTGGTTATCTAGGTAAAAACAAATGTAGCGGATATCGAGCATAATTTGAAACAGCATCTTCAGAAGGAACTTAGTTCCTTAAGAGTTGTCAAATGTGCAAGTAAATTATCGAACTTGAGGATTTTATTCAGACGGATTGTAAAATACGGGTATACTTAAGTAAAGACTGATAAGTGCCTCATCTGATTATGATAGTCACAAGGAAATAACTTGTAAGGTACATTTTCAATGATACTACATAGTTCGATTTACACGTACCAGACATTTCAACTGAGATAAAACTGCATATCATAACATATCTTACATAAAACCACCAAGAAGAGCACTAATCTTTAAACTAATATCACGAAACGAAACTAAGAATCTTATTATTACGAAGATTATTAGCAGTGACTGAGATAAAAAGTGCAAAGAATAAATTTACTTTGGATCAAGAAAACTAAACAGACAGCCTTTAATGAGCACTTGGAATTCAAAAATTTTTAGTTTCATTAAAACCTACTAAATAGTTTTGTAAGATCTATGAAATAAACGACATAATAAAATTAGCGAACGAGTCCACAGATGATAATGAGGAAATTCTATTTGTAAAAATCTTGATAATTTTGATGTTAGATTATATTTCCTTGAAAAAACTCTAACCAGACTGTTAAGTAAAACGTTAGATTCACTTAGAGTTTATCGCTGAGATTTCTACGGATACAATTTCTTCCTTAATGTCTTACATTAAATCGGCGCCCAACTACTGCGAAATTATCTGTTAATTTTTAAGTGAAAGTTCTTGTGAGCCCAGAGATCCTTTCGTTAATGCTACTATTTTGTTACGACTGCAGTAAAGTTCGTCACGATTTATAGTATAATTTAAAGCACAGGCTAAAACACAGTCATGAAGCAAGTGGAGTTTCCTGATGAATTCATTTGATGCCTATAGTTCAGTTAAAGTGTATATTTTACTCAGTAAGTTACACAATAATAAACAAAGTAAAGTGCGAATAAAACGGCATGATCGAAAAGAGAGCACTTTTTGAAGTGAGTTAAAAACCGAAATTTTGATATGAATTAACTTACTCTGTTGTGTAGTTGTTTGAGTGTTTCTATATCTAGTTGATGCAAACCATGCCCATTAGGAGAAATAAAGTATAAACACAAATGAACGCGTTGGTCATTAGGTAGGCCTGGTTGATATGTTGCTCCAGACCCGACTGTTATACGAGAGACATTTAGTTCAGCTCGAAGATAAGATTCGAAACGAGAATCGATATGTTTTACCAGAGGTTTCCAGCTTGCAGAATTATCTAGTTCACTACCAAAGCCTGGGGTATCAATTATGGTCAATATGAGAGAAACGTTGGCTTCACTCAATGCGAACGTCCTTGAATCCACACAAGTTCCAGAAGAATAGGATCGTTTTGATGGACCCTTAAAAGTGATTACACATTTTGATAGGGGTGATAAAAGAGAGACATTAGTGAATTCATATATGTTATACTAAATAAGAGGTATGATACAACCTTTTTACTATTGAAAGTAAAGAATACACCTAAAAGACATTGCGTTGGGTAGTAAGAAATACTAAACATCACTTATCAAAAACGTTGGACAGAGGTATAGCTAACATAAAGTTTTTAAACAAATATTAAGTAACTCAAAACGTTCATTTTATTTTATTAGCAAATAATAATAGCAACTGTTGGTTGATTGTGGTGTCCTAACTAGAATACAAAAATCTCGTTTACAAAATGACGAACTACGCAACATTTTATAAGGCATTCAAACTTTTAAAACTCCAAGTCACTTGACTTTTTCACCTTGAAATAGCAGATTAGTACATGCTGCGAGAAAAGTACAACAAAATTTTGATTGACTTCAAAAGGTTATTAATGTAATGTAAAAGAAACTTCAAATACAGGTCAAAGTTGTTTGTGAGCTTGCAACCCTTAGTTTAAATAAAACGAACTGACGTCAAGTATTATTCTGGAAATCCCTAACTATTGACTAATTTGTTTTTATGCTAATCGTAACCAGGGTCTGAAAAAAACATAACGAATTTTATAAATACTTTAGCTAGTAAAGATTTACGATCTAACCAGTCATTTTTTTAGTGTTCCACTCCTAACATCAGTCCCGACAAATCAATAGTTCAGTTACACACCGACAATACTTTGAGGACACATGAGCAAGTTGCAAGAACTCACATATATTTTATTTCCAGAAATCACACTTCGTCGTCATAACATGAATATAAGTTTCAGACCTCAGAATTTTATTTTATGTAGTATAATAAATAACAGTTAAGTACGTTTTCCGTGGTGAAGCAAATAGCAGAGCATATGTATATAGATGTATTCCAATAGAAATATCTAAAATTTACAAAACTTTTGATTAAGACAGAAGTTAACCTTTTCTTAAACTTCTTGAGATATTAATTGCTTCTGAGCCACTTAAAAGGTCACATACCTTACTTTTCTTGAATGTTGTAGTAAAAAACGACCAATCAACCTAGTCATTTCATTTAAATAAAACCTTTGAAAATACTAGTTTCTGGTCATCACCTCTTAAGAGACACAAAGATACTTTAAATGTAGGGCTTTACAACCAAGAAATCCATTAATAGACTATTCAGATAAAAAAATTTAGGTCGGTGATAATCTGTTGCAGACAAGTCTGATCACGTAGCAGTGACCACGGAGTACTTTGCTCTCGGTTTTCTATAGGTTGACAATTTCATTCAAATTGCCAATTTCTGCCAATGAACTTTTTTTAATCTCTCTCTTTATTTTCTGGTCTCATATAATCTTTAGACGACTAGACTAGCAATTTTAGAATTAAAAACCGTAGCGAACCAATGAGACAGTTGTAGCATATGATATCTGGTACTAATAATTCCCATCTGTTTTACCAAACTTTTTTTCACGACCAAAGAGTGATATATCCTTACTACATAGGTGGATTATCAAAATAATGCAGAATGTTTCCTTTTAATTCGTTCACTACTTCTATAGAATGGCCCCATTGAAATGCGGATATCTATCGACAGATCCCAGTAAAAATAAAGAAGTTTGAAATTAAACTAATTTTGCTTAAAAAGTTTAGACATCTTATAGTGATAGGATAAATGTTAATATAAATCAAACTTAACAATCACTATAAGCCAAGGTGTAAAGATAGGTGGATAAGATAATTACTCACAGGATAATCAGCGTTGTACATATCCGTGCAAAATAAGGAGTTAATGAAAGTGGACTTTCCAAGACCAGAGTTCCCGGTAATCATAAGATTAAACACAAAACCCCGTCGAACAGCTTTTCTGTGTATTTGGTTGGGCAAGTTTGCAAATCCAACCTTTGTAACCAGTCTATCCGTCGGAAAAGCTTTAGATATAGAACCACTTGAAGTGTTGTCTGTACTATTCTGAGGACCAAACCTATTCATATCATTACATGCCATTACAGGTCGGTGATTTGGTTTCTGAGTGGGTGAATCGTGAACATTTTTATCAACAGAGGGAGAAACCCCTAAACTACCTTCCATTTTGATCATGACACTTCGAGACATTGCAGTCACCATAATGCTCAAAGTTAATAATTACGACAATATAACCATGTACAAACTGGCAAAACGAACACAAGGGAAACATTCGATTACCGCGCTTCTGAAACGAGCTCAGGCTTAAGATACACGCGCCTTAAAGGTTTCCAATGACGTCTAAAATCTGAAAAAGGGACAAAAGAGGATTTATTCAATCAGATCCATGAATTTCTTCACAAAATATCCAAATTTTTAAAGCTGACACCGCTACTTTACGATAGCGATGATGAAAGATGGAAAACCACGTAAATTCTTGGTAGGATATGTTTTCCTTTGAAGTTTCCCATCTCTAGTTTTAATAAATTCCGATGAAATCGATCGGGCTCCTTCAGAATTTTAAGCAACTTGAGGCTGGATATTTATCAGGTTACAAAAATTAGTTTTCTATTCCAACGTAGATTTAAGTTCAGGCATATAGATTTGATTGACAACAACTTGTAGGACTACTGTAATTTGTTGTCTGATAAGCAGTTGTTCACTGTGACTGTTGGCAATAAAATTGAACTGCCGTTAATCCGATGATTTTTTTGTTTAACAAACCAAAGAATAGGCTGCAGAAGTGTATTCTAACGCTCAATAATAATTGTTCATATTTCTGCTACGGGGTTGGTGTTATGAATAAATCGTGAAACGGGTTACAGTGGCAACAACTAACTTCCTCAGATGAGCGGCCTCTTAACCATTTGACTAGCACACCTACGCTGATAGTTTCGACAATGCTCTCATTCATACCTCTTGGCCATATATTCTGATGTGGCCCACTTATTACACATTTACGCCTGAAACACTCAAATTTGTCACCGTGGATTAAAGTTTTAACTATTCCAACGATTTGTCGCCCTCTTCCTCCTCACTCAGGTTAAAAGCCGTAAAAGATCTTTGTATCTTCAGAGTTCGATTTGTTCGTATAAATAAAGTCTTTCCAAGACAAGTCGATGTGAAGCTATTCAATCCTACAAATGTACTCAGAAATCATTCTCCATTAGATAACTAGTCTTGTTGACTAAAACCTAACATCAGCCTTGAGGAAATAGTGATGAATGGCGCCAATTTTTATAAAATATTGCCAGGGATGAATCTAACCATTAAACAGAGAACCGTTTAATTGGGTGTTTGAGGAGATAAGTTTGAACTCCAGAATTACCAGTAACGTTGACGTAAACAAATCAAAACCAAACACCACTAAGAATAGACTGTAGCCCAGCGTAGTAAATATGCCAAAAACCACTTAACTGGAAAACTTCTGTATTCTAGAGGATCCTCTCAGAATCACTCGTGATACTTTAGAGGGATACTGATAACACTGACAGATAATTATATTCATCTTTTTATTACCTTGACCTACGATGCATTGCATTGATAGAATTTCAACTTGCATAAGTTACTGAGTTGCCTCGAATAAATATGACTAAAAGGACACATCATCTTAACTGACTTCCCATGGCTTGTAAATACGGAGGCTTGATTCGCCTTTTCCAAAGCTATCATAATTACAGTAGAAACTTTAAAATGCATTGAGCAATATATTAAGAATACATAAAGGAATCGAAAGAGAAAAATCATCGCATCCACACAAGGATGGATATTAACATCTAATTATTAAATAACAGACTGTACAACCTTAGAGAGTTCACTTGAATTTTCAGAAGTAAATAAAATAGGGTTACTAAAAAGTGTTAAAATGTCTGTGCTCAAAATGACTCAAAAATACAAGTTAATTCCTAAAAAAAAACTACATTTGGAAGGTTCTGGTTGAAGAACGAGTTGAGTGGTTTGCTTACAAAAAAATTAAAAGCGTGTGTTCACCGTGGCTAAGGAGCTTTTTAAGGTAATCATGCTACAATACATATAAGGCAAACTTTGGGATGTACTGATCGGTTTTCGATTAATTTCTAAGAGTTTTACACCGTCATGCTGTGAATATGTAAACAGCTTTTCATCTTTGACTTCAAAAGAGTATTTTGATGCGTATTCACAGATGGACCACAAAATGGACTAATTTTTACAATTTCAGATGTTTCAAAACATCAGATCGATTCCTATGACTGCACAAAAGTCTTTTAAAAAATCTTCCTGTAAGCTCATTTAAGCCTTTGATCCATCTTCGGGCCATAAACAACTGAACAAAGACACTTAATGACCGTATTTAGCTCTTTCCCTTCCAGATTTTATCATGTGTACCTCATAGTCTCGATGTCTGAGCGCAGTCGGCAAGGCCATATGTTTTGTTTTCGTTTCTAATTAAAACTAGAAGTTCCAAGTTGAGGTTCATCTTGTGATTAAGTTTGATGGTTCCCGCAAAGTACGTCTCATCCAATTCATCATCCATTGCAATTTTAGTAGCAGGTGTAGATTTAACACTAACCCATCCGTTCGTAAATCGTTTTTCGATTTGTCGGGACACTTTCTTACATTCCAGGAAATCGACCGCATGAACAATAAGTTAAGCTGTTGGTTTTTGCGCACGTGTGTCATGTTTTCAAACACCATGGATGTCATCACACATCAATTTTCGTATTGTTTGTGCTTACTACATAGATTTTAACCCAGTTTATTAATAGTCATACGTATTTGTTCATTACCTCAGTGAATATTAAGTTAACTTAAATGTGTTTATTTTTATAAATCCAATTCAAGCAAGTGAAATGCACCATTTGTCAAGTCTGAGAAAGACTATTGTCAAATTTTTAAACAGAAGTGGGCTTTTACAAAATTTAACATTTGCTTTACCATCGCAAAGAATGTTGATGAATAAGGATATTTGGTAGTTGATTAGTAAGTACAGGTGGGGGCCATTATGTGTCAAACTATTTTTGAACATCATATAAGTCTCTAGTACGCAACCATAAACATTCCCATCCACTGTAAGTATGATCATTTTTGACAGAAATGGGATATTAATATGCAACTTACCTGCGAAAGAAAAGTTATTTGAGAAGTAATTGACTTTGATAGCTTTTTCTATTCGCTTTCTGAATACATACAGCAACTATATATAATATCGCTGTAAATATCACATTATTCAGTGACATATCCCTCATAAGTAAAACTGTGCGCGACGTTTTAGAAAATGATGACTGGATTATGGCGTTAGTCAATATTAATTTATTATGTGTCTAATGGAGTTCGCAAATGAATTTCTGTAAACAGAATCTGTACCCACTGAGTAAATTATTAACAGAGTTCTAGTACAAAAAGCTGAGTATTATTGAAAATGTACTTCTCAGAGACCTCGTATTGTAACTCCGCCTATAGCTCTCCCAGAGTTACTTCCGGTCCCAATCCGGAGTGAAGGAGGAGTGTTGGGCATGAGGTTAGCGACCCCATCCTGTAGAAAAATAACTCGCCAAAAAACGATGACCAGAAAAGTAATTCAAACCATTTAAACTCTGTCCTAGGAGTTAGAAGACCATCATTTAGAAGAGTTGTGACACCCATGCTGAACGGCAGAGACTAGATACGAAAGAGATGCCCCTATACTCCGGTCACGAAGTGAGGAGTTCTCCACACAATCAGGGAGTTAATCTAATGCTGTTCAAAGAACCACGAAATGCACATGTAGGATGGAAATCTCACGGATCCAGAATCATCAAAGCTCCACTCCAAACAAAGAAGGAGAGGACCAAAATGAATGTTATCCAGTGTTATGCACATACCAATGATAGCAACGACGAAGTTAAAAATCAATTCTATGAGCGGCTGCAATCAATCATAAAGAAGTGCCCAAGAAACAACCTCAACATTCTGATTGGAGATCTAAACGCCAAAGTCGGAATAGACAACACCGGGTATGAAGATATCATGGGATGACATGGACTGACTGGGAGAGATAGACGAAAATGGGGAAAGATTTGCAAATCTGTGTGCGTTCAACGAATCGATCATAAGCGGCACAATATTTCCACACAAACGTACACACAAAGCTACATGGATCTCACCGGGCCACACAACAGAGAACCAGATAGATTATATTTGCATCAATAAAAAATTCCGAAGGACAAAGATGTGTGTTATAATTTGTTGTTTGAATGCTTATTGTCTTGGCTCTTTTAATGCTAATTTTTGTATCTGGTCGTCGCTGATTGTTATGTCGGAAACGCTTATCACTTATACTCGGAACGCCGGACCTGCAATTCCCACGACGCGAAAGTGAGAACACAAAGACTGGTATAAGTGATGATTTATCGACTCTAAAATACGACGATGACGACTCTAGTAGAAAATACACTCATTTATGTATTGATTGTACACCCATTTTGATTGATAATTAGGATGAAATCACATATATGAAAAATACATAGAGTTATAACAAACCACATACTGAGCATAGTTCATGTCAATGGAATACATGAATATCACACATTATACAGAATGAAATATAATGCGAGATAATAAAACAAATATTACCTTGAGTAATCCTTACATTGAATAAAAACGGAAGTAATCTTGAACAAAACTTATAATGAGTAAATCAATCGAAAATTGACTTTTCTTTCCATCATATCAGTGAGAATAAGGAGAGGAACTGACATAACTTCAGATCACCACCTAGTTGTGGCCAATTTAAAACTGAAGCTAAAGAAGAACTGGACAATTAGACAAACAGCTCTTTAAAGGTTCAATACAGACTTCCTTCGCGATACTGACAAACTCAATGAATTTTAGATAGCTCTCAACAACAGGTTCCAAGGAAGAAGAAACTACTATGGAGGACAACTGGAAAGGTATCAAAGAAGCATTAAGTTCAAAGTGTCAAAAATTTCTGGGCTGCAAGAAGCATCATCATAAGGAATGGATCTCTATAGAAACACTGGATAGGATCGAAGAAAGGAAGAACAAGAAGACAGCAGCTAACATCAGACGAATAAGAAGAGCGAATATTAAGGCACAAGCTAAATACATAGAAACACGTAAACAAGTGAAGAGAATTAAAGCCATCAATTAGAAATACGCGAAAGAACTAGCGACGATGGCGGAAAAGCTGCAAGAGAAGGTAATATTGAACAACTATATAACACAACGAAAAAACTAGCATGGAGATATAGTAAACCAGAGAGGTTGGTCATACAAGGCTGTCTAC